TTCTAACTCCAGGTCTTTGCACATTTCATTATAGTAATAGGCTTTGTCTGCTCGAGCTGCTCTTTGAAATCTTCTGTTCAGCTCTTTTATCTTGTCATGTCTTCCATTTGCTTTAGCTACTCTCCACTCAAGGGCAAGTTTCAGAGTCTCTTCTGACATCCATTTTGGTCTTTTCTTCCACATATCTATACAATAAGCAAAATACAGAAACAAAGATGATTAGTGATGCAGGGGGTGGGGTGCGGGGGGGTGCTGCTTAGTCCATGTTCATGGTGGTGGAATGGTTTGGAAAAGGACAGTGAGAGAAGCTTTACAACCCGAGGAGCAGAACCCACATGGCTGGGTCATACCGGCAGGAATGGGTGCACTGATGGATGTTCATTGTGGGTTCTTTTCACCACAATGAACAATACATAATAATACACTAGCCTGACCCTCCCAGCCAGGGGCCCCCAAGGCAACCACGAGGCTGCAACCTTCTCTGCACCCCATCCCAGCTGAGTTCTAGACTGGCTGACTAAGAGACCTGGGACCCTTGCTAAGACAGGATGCAGGACAAAGACAGTGATGACAGTGGCACCTTACACGTGTCCCATCAGTGCTCCTGTGTTGGAAGAAGTCTAGCCAGGATGCTCCTTGGTGAGGGTGGTGAGCCTTGGTCTCACCCACTTTGGACATGTGACCAGCAGGGACCAGTCTCTGGAGAAGGACATCATGCCTGGTAAGGCAGAGGGTCAGTGAGGAAGAGGGAGGCCCTCAACGAGGTGGAGCGACACGGTGGCCGCACCAACGGGCTCAGGCACAGCTGTGACTGTGAGGCTGGCGCCGGACCGGGCAGATGTACATGGGGTTGCTGTGAGTCACAACCAGCTCAATGGCGTGCTTGCCAACAACAAGGTGGGCAGCTCAGGCCACCCCAGGAGATGCCGCCTGTCTTCACACAGACGAGGAAGGAGGAGGGCACACGCGAGCTCTGGTCAGGCCGTCTGCACGCGGAGGGCAGGGATCATGAGCACACTGTGCTGTGGGGGCTGGGAGGTGGCTGGTACGAGGCCTGGCTTGGAGAGGGGTCTCAGGAACAGACTCCCGGGCAAATGGGAGACGAGTGGGACTGTTGTCAAGGGCACTTCTCAAGTGGCTTCCAGTCACTTCTATTTCTGGCTTTTTAGCAGCCTGCAGTGGGAAGGGAGGAAAGGGCAGAGGGCCCTTGACAGGACTCACAGACTGATTTCTGAACCCACAGTGCACCCCAAAGTACATTTCTGCCAGGGAGGGGGGAAGGGCAGGCAACCTTGGCGAGTGGGAGCAGAGGGGCAGCCAGGCAGGGGCAGAGGGACGCTGAGACAGGGAGTAGCAGCCAGGAATGTTCTGCCACTCACTAGAGAAGCGACTCATGGCTTCTCCTGTCCTGGTGTAGGGTGTGGCATCGGGGAATGGGCAGGACCTGGGCCATGGGCCCGCCATGTGACCTGAGAAATGTCACCACCTTGACCGCTGTTAGTTTAACACCAGAGTCCTGCTGTCACTTTGAACACAAGCTCTTCTTCTAGACAAATCCCTCCTTGTACCTGTGTAGCTCGCTGGTTCCAACTGCTCCCCGCTGCTGGCTGGGTCCCACTCATCAGCCTTCTGAGGGCCACTAACTTCCTCCACTCTCGTTGTCAGGGAGGTCTGCGTCTGTTTGAAGGAGCAGAAATTCAAAGCCTAAGTTCTTGGTTGAAACTGAAAAGTAGCCTCCAAGCCGTCTCTCAGTCCCAGGCTGCAGAGCGAGCTGCTTGGCTACATGCTCAGTGGCTTCCACTTGGGTCGGGCCTGTTGTGTCCCCTTTTTGGGAAGGTGATCTGGTAAGGTGATTAAAAAGACATTTTGCCTTGAAAAACCAAACCAAACTCACTGCCATGGAGTGGATTCTGATTCATAACGACCCCTCCCTGGGCTTCTGAGGCAATATATCTATGGAGGTATATTGCCTGATCTTCCTTCCAAGGAGTAGCTGGTGGGTTTGAATCACCAGCCTTCTAGTCAGCAGTCATGTGCCTTAGGCGCCGCGCCACCAGAGCACTGCTGAAGTTGTTCTCGTTCTTGCAAATGTTGAAGCCAGCAGGCACAGGGGGTCACTGAGTTGGAGCCGACAACAGCCACAACAACGTAAGCACACCGTCACAGGAAGTCATTTAACAAGGTTACACTAAATACTGGACTCATGGGCTCATGGCAAATCTGCCCACGGCTGCTTCCTCTAACTACTTCGGGACTCATAAAGCCATCTGTATTTGGGACACCCGTTTAGGACAGTGCCCCTCAAGACACCCACTGTTGTTGCTTCTCCCCGCAACTGCACACATCCTAGAATGTGGCAGGTGCCCCTGACATGTGTGCCAGATGAGCAGAGCAGGCTGCAAGCCACTCAGACAATGGGGACAGTGAACCTGGATGACAGGTACCTGCTTTCCGGCACAAGCTGTTCCGGAACCCACAGCCAGTTGCCTAATGGGCTCGAAAGCTCAGCAATGACCCAAGGGCAGTCATTGTCAACTTGTCATCTTGAAGACGGCCCAGTGTGTGGCAGGCAAATGGGGAGCCATTAGCGTAATGGGGATGAACAGAAAGCATCATTTCGCCCCAACACTGCGAGCGGGCCCATCTTGCCTCGGAGGCCCTTTCCCTGTTACCAAGAAAAACCAGCCTGAACCTGCTAAAGAGCAAGAGTCCAAAGAAGTTGCTGGAAGAAAACCTCCAGCACCGTGGCCCCACACCTGAGCTCGTGGACGCCTTGGCGTGGGGCTGTGGACGGAGGGACACCTTCCCCGGGGCGCTGGGGCTGCCGCAGTGGGAAGGGCAGGGAGGGCCCTGGTCTCACAGACACTCTACCTGAGCAGAGACCCCAGCTCTAAACACCTGATGATGCAATGACCCACCTCGTCAGTGAGGAGGGAGAATGTGAACCCCGCGACCTGACCGTCAAGGTGAGCGGGACCGGCCAGGTGAAGGGTAGAGCTGGACTCATTCCAGGTGGCGGGGCCACACAGGTAGAGACCCGGAGAGAGAAAGAACTCACTGGATTAATGACACCACCCAAAAAAGCCAGAAGGTCCACCATGCTGTCCATTGTGGCTGCTGCTGGTCCCTGAGGCCTTTGAACACTTGAAATGCAGCCAGTCCAAAC